AAAGAGCTGACGGGCCAATAGTGAGGCAGAAGAAAGGATAGGTGGGGCTGTCAGACAGAATATATAGAAGGAGAAATGAGGAAGAGAAGAGAGAACAAGGCAAGGAGGATGTCAGTGGCCACGCAGCCAACCACAGAGTAGGAGTGAAAGTAATATAGTGGTCAGAATAATTTAAGTTAAAAAAAAAGTTGGCAAGAAACAAGCCAAGCTAAGGCTGGGCATTTATAATTAAGAATAAGTCTCCATGTGAAACTTATTTGAGAGCTAGGTGAGCCCCCAAAAAGTCAAAAGAAAAAACAAAACAACATTTATTTCATCTTATACTCCATGGTCACACTTCATCGGTGAGAGAAGTCAGGGCTGGAACTCACAGCAGGAACCTAGAGGCAGAACCTGATGAAGAGGCCATGGAAACATGCTGCTGACTGACTTTCTCCCTGTGGCTTGCTCAGCCTGCTTTATTATAACACCCAGGACCATCAGCCCAGGAATAGCCCTGCCCATATTAATCATTGGTTAAGAAAATGCACCACAGGCTTGCTCATAGGCCATCTGCTGGGGGCATTTTCTCAATTGAGAAATGACTCTATGTTGTGTCAAGCTGATATAAAACTATCCAGCACATGTATCTTTGATCCGAGAAGCAAAACTGAGAGTCGTACCCTGGACTGGCTATGTTCTGATTGTATGACCCTGTTTGGTTCCCAGCTCTGAGGGAGAAGGGCAAAGACTGGGTTCCAGAGTGATGTTCTCTTAATCTGTCCCCAGCCCTGTGCTTCTTAGCAGTGGCCCTATTGCAGGCCTTCCGACTTCTCCAGACTGCTTATTCATTGACTGAGCCAGAGAAATAACGGTACCTGCCTTGCAGGATAGATGAGAGGACTTACACACAGTAAGGCTCAGAATCTCAGCTATAACCATCCCCTTCCCTTTCTCCTTTATCATTTTAATTAATTATTTATTTATAGGTGTGTGGCTTGGCAAGGCAAGGTATGTGCTTAGGACTCAAAGAACAATTCTGGGGAGTCATGAGTTTCTTTCCAGCCTTGTGGGTCCTGTGTATCAAACTCAAGAGTTGGATGCCAGTGACTTCACCTGCTGAGCCATTGCTCTGGGTCCTTTCTTCGACCTTCCAATTACCCAATTACAAGATAACAAAAACTACTCACATTACACCAAGAAAGGGGGAGGGGAGTCTCCCGGTGATTTCAAGGCGGTGGGGTGGAAACTCACAGGTTGTTCTGATGCCAGGTCCACATGACTTCGCTCTCGGAGGCTCTGGTCTCCTCCATGGACTTCCTACAGCTTCTTCACTACATCTCACCCCTCGTGACTTTAGTTTGCCATTGTCCTTGAGTGCCACCTCTCCACCTCTGACCTTGTCAGTGTGGCCTTTTCCCTTTTGCTCCTCCCACTAACCACCTAGCATTTTGTAACTTCTGCTTAAACTTCCTGGGGGGGGGGGAAGCCATCTATTGGCTCAACTCACTAAGGGCCAGGGTTACTATCCAAATGGACTACACTTTCCGTTAGGTCACTGGCCATCTCAGACTCAGTCCACTGGGGCAAGGAGATAAGGTTGATACCAAAAGTGTTCTCTGAAGTCACTGGGCATTAGGCTACTTCCTTTAAAAACCAATGGCGGGCAGAGTAGGGATGACTGACTGACATTCCTTCTGTGATTCTGCAGCCTCTAACCACACAGCAAGTGGGCACTCAGAACAGGAAGAAATAAAATTAGCCCCACCCGCCAGTCCCTTGTCTAAAGATAAGGGAACTGAGGTTAGCCTGGGAAAGAGACTTCCTCCAGTTAGTGGTCTGTGAATGGTGGAATTTGAAGAAAAGCTCTTTTTCCTTGGAGCAAGTTTGATGCTTCAAGCCACTGGAAGCCCAGCAGCTTGCTCTGTGCTCTGCAGAGCACAGAGATGAAGAAGGTGACAGTGTCACCAGGGCCTGTGGCAACAGAACTCGGGTAGTCAATATGTGTTACAGATTGTCCTTTCGAAACTGTGTGAGACACAGCTTCTTCTTAGCCACATGTTCAAGGTCATTTACTGATGTCAATCAAAGCTGAGATCTATATTCAGGTCTGGGTGACCCCAGAGTCTTTGCGTGAAAGCTTTACAAACCTGTGTGCAGGAACTATAGAATTCTGGAGTGGGTGTGCCCCTTCTGTGTGGAAGAATGGGGAGCAAGGCCTTGTGCTTGTGTCAGGATAGCCAGAGGCCTCTTTTCTTCCTGTCCCAGTTAGTTTCCGTTTGTTTGTTTTGGTCAACTTTTGTCAACATAAGCTGATGTTATCTAGGAAGAGGGAAATCAATTGAGGCGCCTGTAGGCAAGTCTATAAGGCATTTTCTTGACTGGTGATCATATAGCAGGGCCCAGGCCACTGTGGGAAATGCAGTACTGGGTTAAAGCAAAAAGGTAGTTGTGCTAAGATACTTCCTCCATCTGGACTTGAGGCTTGGGTCTGAATCCTGTCCTGCCTTCAGCTTTCCATCTCATACATTTAAGACCCCACCTGAATCAAATCCATACGCTCTGTGGAGAGCTAAAGTAGAAAAAGGAGAGAAAGAACAGAAAGTGTTGTTATAATAGTAAAGACCAACATGGTACAAATGTAGAGAATCGATTAGAATTGTTCCCAATATGAGCATTTAAAGGAAATAATGAAGGATCAGTCTATTCCCCCAGAAGAAGCTGGGGGCACACTTAATTGGTGGCTGTCAGAGTAACCCAGCCTCTTAACAATCAGGCACAGAATCCTGGGAACTGTGTCCTACGACAAGCCGGGCAGTAGACATGACACTGTGGAGTCCCAGCTGCAAGCGCTCATTTCCTAAGTTATAAAGGAAGGAAACATTTTTCTTCCGTGGGTTTTTGTATGAATGCAGCGAGGGAGGTCACGTGTGCTGGTTTGAAAGAAAATGGCTCCCAAAAGGAGTGGTACTAGGGCAAGGTGTGGCCTTATTGGAGGAAGTGTGTCACTGTGGAGGCAGGCTTTAAGGTCTTGTCTATGCTCAAGCCACACCCAGTGTCATAGTCTACATCCTGTTAGTCTTAACTAGATGTAGCCAACACCATGTCTGCCTGCATACCATCATGGTCCCTGCCATGGTGATAATGGACTGAACCTCTGCAACTGTAAGCAAACTGCCCCAATTAAATGTTTCCCTTATTAGAGTTGCTGTGATCATGGTGTCCCTTCCCAGCAACAGAAACCCTAACTAAGGCAGATGTGAAACACTCTGCACACAGCGCACACTCAATGGCTGTCATCATTGGTAGGTGGAAAACTAATGCATTTGAGTGAGCCTCTTTGGGATGTATCAGTTAGTGACTGCCGTGTAATTACCACCCTAAAATTGAGTGGGACTGAAACTCATTGCTGCTTATTACTCTCGGGCCTACAGAAGGCAGCTCTCAGCGTCTCTTGTGGGAGGCTATTCTATGCTGAAACAGTCTGGATAGAGATGACAGTACCCTTGTAACTAGGGGGCTGTCTACTCCTGTAGAGCTACTTTAGGTGTGGGCCTGTGGTTCAGTTCTAAGGATGGAGAATCAGGCCCAAGATGATTGTTCTCCTGAGGCTAAGGAGCTGTAGGTAGTGGAAGCTTTTAACATCATTGAGTAGTCACTTTATGAGACAGGCTGTGGTGGGCTAATGAGAGGAATAGCCCAAGACAGTGCCCCTCTCATCCCTGCCTTATGCTGAACTTGACGATAACTCCAATCTGGTTTCTAATGTGGTAGCCAATTTTCTCTTGCTTGAGGTTACCTGGGGAGATTGTCATTCATAACCCAAAACTTCTTAAACAGATCTGAGCAGAAAGTGTTTCAGCTACTTGTCAGGAAAGCAGGCAGTCAACTAAAATTTGCCCTTTGTGCAAATTTGGTGCCTTGGAGTTCTGCGAATTGATTGGGGTGATTGTTTTGTGCAATGAGGCTGTGAGCAGCTTGAGAGCTGGAGGATGGAAACCCAGTCTCATCCATCTGTGTCCCCAACAGCCCACTTGGGGTCAGGCACATAAAAAGATATTCACTGGATGAAAGGCTCTGATTTGGGGTTCCTGGGTGAGCGTGGTTGTTATGACAAGTAAATGGGTTGTGGAAGGCATATAGAAATGTACCATAGACAAAAAGTCTGGCTTAGCAAGAGGAGTGTGTGGGAAATGGGTGGCTATGGTAGGCTCTGGGAATGTGGCAAAGACCCATTCTCTTTTGCACAGAGACTGTTACATGAAGATCCATGGGGGTGGGGGTGGCTCAAGCCCTGAAGTCTTCCTTGACTACAGTAGGTGGCTACAAGACACTTTCTAAGGATCCTGGACCCAGTTTGGAGCCATGAATACATAGAGGCAGCACAAGGCACAGGAAAAACACACGGCTTGATAAACAGATGGTTCAAATCCTTGCTCCTGCACTTCCTACATGATGAGCCTTGGCTAGGCAAGTCAATTAGCCCCCAGGAGCCTCTGCTTCACCTCTTGCAGGACTGAGTCTGATAGCAACTCCCTGCAGTGGCTGTTTTGAAAACGAGATGAGAAATTTCCTGGAGGTGTAATCTAGTGCTTGGGGCAGAAATTACTGGTTAACGGTGAACATCCATATCTACACCTGTCTTAAAGGTCCCAGAGGCTGTATTATATTGAGACATTAATACTAAAATTTCACATATGCCTTGATACTAAACATCATCACTGCATAGCTCTGGCAATTTGTCCTTAAATTTTTAGGACATTTCTTGGAATACCAAACAGCTCCTGCTTCCCCCATCTTAGTTTTCCTATGCCTAGTCCTGTGTCCAGCCATGTTCTTAGCTCTCTACACTTGAAGCAGTCAGTAGTTCTTCTTGTAACATTGACTTTCAGCTAAAGTATATTTTCAGTGTGGCTGATGGAGGAAGCATGCAGACAGTGGACTGGAGGGTAGGGATGCCACTCTGGGCCCTCTCCCCCACCATGGTCAAGTTACCCTTGCAAACAACCACAGAATATGTTTGAGAAAAAGTTAAGCTGTTTTATTTCACAGGATAGCTCCACATCAAACCAGCAGGCACCATCAGAATACGCAACAGAGGATCCAATCAGACACTCTATAGGACGGGCATTTGGTCATAAGGTAGAGAAACGATATCCAGAAGAGGGCAACAGTTAGCATCACATGGGGACAGGCAACCAGCAATTTCCTAGGGTGGTTTCAGTTTGTTTTTCCTGTTACAATTTGAGGGGAGAAGGAAAGCAAAGAAAACAAAATAGACCAGCCACTCTGAAGCAATCAGAAGCAAACCTATTGTCAAACCATGTAAACAGTCACACTGCCTGGAACGAGGGCCTGGGCAGCAGAGCTAGCCTTGACCCACTTCCATCAAGGGAAGGAAAGTGCACTCTGGCAGTTCCACGTCAAGGAACAGCTTTGTGATTTGCCTGGGACAGTTCGCACAGAAAGGAGGTGTCAGCAAAGGGCAGCAACGGCCATTTGGCCAGTCCCAGATGATGGGACAGGAGAATGCTGGCAGATGAACCTCAGAGACGCCAGGAGGTCCTAGACTGACAGTGATGCCCCTTCTGGCAGTTCCCCTGGGCAGCTTGGAGTATGTAGAACTCTCCACTTGGAATTCAGCTCAGTGTAGAAGAGACCCCAGAGAACCAGGGAAGTTGACCTGCACTGCCATCATTTGCATAGCGGAAAATGGGCTAAGCAATGCCTCAGTTCACCCCCTCCTGCCTTTCCCTCCTTGTCACACCTTTCCCTCCCAGCCCAGCAGGACCCACCACCACAGCTAGAAGCACCACCCCCCTCCACCCCTTCCTGGGTTTCTCAAGAGAATGAGGCATTTGCTCTAGTGTGGAACCATCTGGAAGATGAGAAGTTAGAAATAGAGAGGCTAAGAGGGAGGGCCATTGTGTGAGTCCTCGGGGTTTTCCATCACTTGTTTAGAATGCATGTGCACTGGCCACTCAGTGATGACCAGGCGCCAGGTCACGTGATGTCCTCTGCATCCAGGCCTCCCGAATAAGAAAGGAATGCACCCAACAAGGCACTCCAGGAGACGCCAACGAAGGGAGCCCTGTGTACAGGTTTCTCTCCCACCAGCTCCCCTTGTGTACCACAAATGTTTTTAGTGTTTATAAGGCAGATCTCTGAACTGCTGGTTCCAGCCAGTAGCCAACAGATGGCTCCGTTTCCCTGTGTCTCTTCCCACTCCGATTCGATTTCTTCACTGGACATAAACCTTTACGTTCCTTAGGAATCCATTTCCCTCCTGACCCCTGGTTTGGTGACTTCAGAGAGAAGGCTCTGTAGTCTTTTAACGCCCAAGACCACAATTCCCTCCAGTGATGTGCTCTGTCCGGGGTTCAAAAGGCGCTTCGAGGTGAAAAGTTAGCACTGAAAACAAGGAAAGGCGACAGTTCACAGGATCCCACAGCTCAGAGCAGCTCGATGAGGAAAAGAGAAGGGAGGGCAGGGAGGGCGAGTGGGGTCGGAAGCTCAGCTTGTTCTCAAATTGATCGGAGCAAGGTCTTTAGCGGCAGCTGGGCCACACAGTGCCCAGGAAACTAGACCAGGAAGTAATTGTCTTTGGTCAGTTCTAATTAAATGAACATCTTGCTGGTTCATTCCTAAAACAGACTGAACACCGGTTATACATAAAGACAAAAGGCTTGACCTCGGATGAGTTGGAAGTTAAAGAGATCATTCTGTGAAGCCAAAATAAATCTTTTTAAAATGCCCGTTATCAACTAACTGATCGGTACAGCTTTCAATAATGGTGATGAACATTGGTAGACATCACTCCCCTTGTACGCTTGGCTATATTGAGGACTACTAACTATGTTACTACACCCCCCACCCCAATCACTGTACAATTAGGTTTCTGGTATTTGTTTTTACATTGATCTATCTACTAGGTGCAAAGATTTGGTGAGTGGCGTTGGCTATAATGTAATTGTAGCCTTCTTAAAAAAAATTACAGTTTCACATTTTAACAGTTACTTTCCAGCATTTAACAAATACAGCAATATATAGTGGACTAAAAACAGGCAGGAGTTGGAAGGGAGATGCTCACACTCGATAGACACGGATGGGACTGAGTTGGGGCCTGGGGGTGGCTGAGACATGCAGGGGACCAGACGAAGTGTGTGTGTGTGTGTGTGTGTGTGTGTGTGTGCGCGCGCGCGCGCACGTGTGTGTGTGTGTGTGTGTGTGTGTGTGTGTTGGGGTAGGGTTGGACAGTTTTTCCATTTGTTCTGCATCAAAGCTCAAATTGGGGGTTGGAGGAGATGGGGACTCGTCTGCCATCTGTGCATGCGCTTCCCTAAACGTGAATTCATCAGCCACTTGCCAATGGGGGGAAAATAGATGCTTAAGGGAAACAGCTGAGGCTCTGCTCTTGGGACATTTGGGGAGAGCAGTAAGGAAAAATGAAATAAATCAACCCAACCCAGAGAGAGACGGATCTGCAAAGCATAACTGGCATTAGGTGTGTCAGGTAACAGATTTGTAAACTCAATTTTGCTTCTATCCAGTATTCAAGCAGGGAATGTTGCTTTTTGTTGTTGTTGTTGTTGTTTGGCCTGGGAGGTAAATGAGCTTAAAAATCTGGGAATAGCCCTAGGATACAAAAGAGAACCGTCTTCTCTCCTGGGTGCATAGCAGAGATAGCAGACATTGGTAAATGAGGGCGCTGGAGCCTGATGCAGCCCACATCTTGCAAAGGTTCCAGTCCAGCACCACCCCCCAGGCCTTACTCGCTTCAACTGTGAAATGGAGATATTTTTTATGTGCTCAAAGACAGAGGGCCCATCATAGCAAGAGTTGATAGGGAAAGAAGTCTTGGTGGCTCCAGCATCTCCCTGACATTCTCATTTTCTGCCCGTTCTTGGTTCCATATTGTACTCGGTGATGATCCTACAGGTAAGGTAGAAAGTGATCCTCCTCACACCCGAGTACCAGTGACTCATTAGGCCCCTTCCTGAGGAAGGGGGCAAGTTGCCTTTTAATAGAGGACCCAAGAGATGATGGAAGCAAGCCCAATGGAAAGAAATGCCAGGGGTAGCATTTCAAAGTGTCTGTAGTTGACAGGAGTGCCATATCCAAGGGTCACACAGCTCCTATCTGGTGGAAGCTGTGGCCCAAATTTTGGGTTTTGTACTGTAAAACTCAAGAGGCAGGCAGAGAGCCAGCCAGGAGGGGTCTGTGTGCGTGCGCGTGCGTGCGTGTGGGTCTGGCATGAGGAGGGAGAGTAGAAATGGTCCCATCAGGACTAGATTTGCATGTGATGCATTATCCAGGAAACCTGGAACTATCTGGAAAGTGGAAATTTACAGCAAAAGTGCAGGTAAATGGAACCCAAAAGAGCCATGCAGAAGGCTTCTGTCCTACTGCAGAATCACGTACCTTCTTTCTACCACCAGGTTTTCTCTACATGAACTGCTTTAGAAGACGTTGAGGGAGAGGAGGAGAAGGGAGGGAGGGTGGAGAGCACTACTGTTTTCATAAACTCTTGGCCTATGGTGTTTCCTAGCACAGCCCTCGTAGGGCGGAGCCAAGGGCTGACTGGGTGCTGGAGGCTCTGGTGGGGAAGCACAGCGTGCTGTGGCCTAATTTCAAAAGAAATGGCGTGAGTCAACACCTCCTTGCCCATTCAGTCTCAAATCTGACATAGCATGATTAGCAGAAAGAGAAAAAGAAAAACATGAAATATTTTGAAGATGAGAGAAGTAAACTTCTATAGTCACCACTGATTTATCCCTACAGCATGGCTAGGGGTTGAAATACTCCATATCACTGTTTTGGTTTTTGTGGGGGGTTTTGTTGTCTTTTTCCCCTACCCACAGGTAATGCTGTGTTATGATGGGGCATAGCATCTCACCATCCCGACTCTGCATACAAACCCAAGGGTCTTCACACCAACCTCTCCTGTACCTTTTGGGGTACACAGTTGACCTTTGGCCTCTGGGTGGCAGGGCAGGGTCTCTGTGGGGGTGGATGAAGGGTTTTCTATGAAGGATTCCCCACCTTTAGGAGCAGCCTGCTTGGGGGTACTGCCTGCCCCATCCTTCCTTGAGGGGCAGACTGTTCTAGAAGGCCACGACTTCTGGAGACAGCTGGAGACTGTTTCTGGTTTTGTGTCTCTGCAGGTTAGTGGTATATTGCTTCGTTCGCAGTTCCTGTGGGGCCTCTAAGTTCTCCCAGAGAAGTCCCTGCAAATCCCACCGAATAACAGTGGGAGATGTTTGGTGGCATGGGTCTGAGGTAAATCTAAGTTTCATAAAAAGAAAAAAAAGGAGCGTCTATATACAGTTAGCATGTGTGTATGTCCAGCTCTCTAGTATATGTATATAGATGCATAAATATATATACACACACACCTACAGACACATACGTACACATATGCATATATATGCACGTATTTATATACACACACATATATACGTATGTAGAGAATATCGAGAGAGTAATTTTCCAGTGACAATATGAGAAGCTGGTAAGCATCTGCCTCAGTCTTAGGAAACACGGTCCCTGGGACTGATCTTGCTCCAGCATACCTTGGCATGTCTATTTGCCCACAAGAGGTCTGTGGCATTCACACGGCTGAGTAGGAGGTACAGCTAACGCCTGGCCCTCTGCTCTCCACAGACACACACCCTCCCAGGCTGACCTGCAGGATCTGCCCTCCATGGCCAGGAGATCCCTGGGAAGCAAGTGGAAGCCACCGAGGCCACCCTAGGCCACGGTGTGCTGCAGTGGGCCACGGCGGTGTCACCAGTCCTGCAGGTCACATAGTGCCAGATTTGTCCAAGGAACTATTGGGGAACATCTTCTCGGTGGGTGTCACAGCCGGGCTGCCAACGCCCGAGCTGCTGCTACTGGAGGAGCGGTGCTGGACCACGGGTCTGACTGGGCGCATCGGGGGTGGGCGCAGCTGGGCACCAGCCAAGCGAGCCGACAGGGCAGGCTTGAAGGTGGTCATCATCTCAGTGGAGGAGCTGCTGCTGCGGCGCATGGCGGCGTCGGGGTCTCGGATGACAATGGTGTGCAGGGGGCTGGCAGGCTCCGAGCTTATGGGGCCTGGTGGATTCTTCAGGGGCTCCAGGGTGTCCAGCACCACATCTGGCGCCTGCTTGACAGTGTTCTGTCTCTCGAGTTCCCGTAACTCGTGTAAAGCTGTGCTCATGGTCTTCTCGATGTCCTGGGGACAGAGAAGGCTCTGGTCAACACAGACCTTCCCCAGAATGTTTTCTCATTTCCCTGTGGGAGGCCAGACCCTGAGGGTATATTGTAACCAATACAGGGAATCAACATGGGCACCCCCTGTACCTGTCTTGCGAAAGAAGTTGCCTTCATAAAGGTTGGTCAGGCTATGGCAGGCAGACAGACATTTGTTCAAAACCTGACTCTTGCTATGGAATGCCAGGTACCTCTCTGAGCCTGAGAATTCTCACTGGTAAATTGCTGACAATTCTAACACTTACCTTGGAGGGTTGACGAATGTATAAAGCGATCATATCCATGCAAAGAGATTGGCATGGCACCTGGCACTCAAAAACAGTAGTAATGATCCCCATAGCAATGATACTTCATGCTGAGCACTGATCCAAAGTTTTTAATAATGTATTGATAAGGTAGGGACAACTGTTATATGCGATATGAGTACATATCACACATATAGAAATTGAAGCTCAGACCAGACAGGGTCACCCAGCTAAATAATCAACCCAGTCCAAGTCAGGAGTCTGGCTCCAAAATCTCTGCCTTTGCCATTTTTTTTTCTTAAAAGGCCTTCATTTTAGGGGTAGAGAGATGGGTTGGTGGTTAAGCGCACTGGCTGCTTTTCCAAAGGACCCAGGTTCGATTCCCAGCACCCACACAGTGGCTTTGTAACAGGTTGTACCTCCAGTACCTCCCAGGGATCTGTCACCCTTGTCTGCCTCCATAGGCACTGCACAGATGTGGTACACATATGCACGCAGGCAAAACATCCATACATGAAATCAAATGAAAAAAAAAATGAAAGTCCTTCATTTTAATAATACAGATATTGCAAGACTTCACACTCTACCATATAGAACTGGGTAGCTGTGGTCAGTTCTTAAAATGAAAAGAAAGAAATCCTTACCCACAGGGAAATGCATGAGGAGTGCACCCTAGAATGACAGGAAGACCACTTTGCTCTCAGCATTGTGACCTATGAGGCTCATTTCTTGTTTTAAATGTGGGGAAAGTTTAAATGGCACATAAGGGCATCATTGTATCTGCAGGCTCATCAGGAAGAGAAGACTTCAGGTAACAGATGGGAGGCACTCCAGGCCAGCCTGCATCCTTCTAAACCAATCCAGGGCAGGGCTGGGGCTGGAAGAAAGCACTGACCTACAAGCTGGGAGAGCAGCAGCCACTCTGAACTGCACTGCATCCATCTGTGGAAAGCCCACATTTGCTGGGAAGATACGGTGAGAGGATGAACACGACTCTCTGCAAATGGCCAGATGGTGGCCACCCAACTCCTCAGAACGCAAGAGCCCTTCTTCATAGGGCTTTTTAAAAAGCTGTCTCCACACCCAGTGGATGCGAGAGTGGCTGCTCAGGCTGATCTGACCCAGAACCCATGGAGGGCCCAACGGGGGAGCTGGCTTAAACCTTCACTTGAAGGTGCCATGCCCAATCTGAGCAATGTTGACTACTAAGGGATGCTCGCTCTTCAGCAGTTTGAGGCCAGCCCTGAAAGAAATGCATGGGCCTGAGGAGACAGATGGGGCTGCAGCCTGGAGCTACCATCGGAGTCTTCATCCTGTCCTTTCTGGATCTGCAGGCAGCCTCCTTCCTACCAGACTCCAATGTGCCCAGGGCATATCCCCAACCAGCCTCTTGCTCACCTCACTCCTCGGTCTATCCCATTTGCTTTCTGCATCCTGCTAATGACTAACACCCGCTTTTATGTTTCTCCATCATGTTTACCCCTTTGCCCACTGTGTGGCAGCTTTAAAAAGGGGCCCTTCTGGAGAATCTTTATTCATAGGCTCAGTTGTGGGGAACCCTGCAGGAAGAGCTCTCCTACCTGTCTACTGTATACACACTTGCAGGGTCACCAGAGCCTCCACCACTGTTCTGGAACTTAGTCTCCTATTATCCCCACAACCCACCCCCAACATCTGCTCCAATGCAATGGGATCTGAAAGGTAAAACTGTCAATAACTAAAATGTCATTTTCTCATCTCCCCATCCCTGGTAGAGCGTGAATGGGAAAGACAGAAAAAGCTCAGAGAAAGGTGGGCTCAGGGGTTTAGACTGCAGCCTTGCATTAGTCCGATGAGGGATGCGTAAGTCTGCCAGGTGAAGCTGCAGAGAGGCAGTGGGGACTGGGACACAGTTGGGAAGGAACTCATTTTCATCTCCTCCCCCACTTTGGATGACAGTATTGCAGATTTCCAAAACAGCCTCTTTACCTGGGCTTCAAATCTACTTTGTTCAGGGTATTTGGAAGACCAAGAATCTAGGATGACTCCGTTTACTATTTGGGGTTCTCTACATCACCTCCCGTTTGGCTCCAACAAAGTCAAGAGCTCCTCAGAGATGAAGCTGAGCAAGTGGGCAGCTGTCCAGTGTCCTCATGGCTGTTTTCCACGAGCGTCAGTTTCACTTCAGCCCATGAAAAGCACTATCCAGCTAGAGAGGGCGAGTATACTAACAGCACAGATAGTATTGCTAAGTGTATTTGCTGAGTTAGGCTAACAAAATGCTCCTCAGAGGAAAACTACAGAAGTCTGGAGATACAATATACCTTGTTCTTGCTAGAGATCCACAATGTACAGCAAACTATTTCAAGGTTCTAAAAAGTCTGTCAGTATGTCTTTCTACTTGGTGAGTACCATAGCATACATGATGCTCTGCCTCCACTCACTCCACCGGCATTGTGTGGTAGTCTTTGATGCATTAGGCACAGTGCCCCTGACTGCGTTTGATTGTCCATGTAAAGGAGTCTGAGCCAGCTTTAGGAAACCCCTGCCTTGCTGTGATAGCAATCTTTGGAAGATGATGGGTACTAGGGTGATGGTTCTCAAGAGGCTAGCCTTCAAGGATGGAAAGCCAGGTTGGCTATCTCCCCTGCTTGGTCCATGCCAAGGTATCAACCCCAAGGACTCCCTGGAAATGGGCACTGGGATATGAGGTAAATGCCATGTGTGGAGTTCTAGATGCTGGTGCATTGCTTCCAGCCAGGGTGTTCTCTGAGGAGCTTCCCTAGAGTCTCATAAGGACATGCTCAGAAGCGTACGTGCTCACTGCATCCCCTTCTAAAGGGTATTCAAAAAGGCTGTTAGCACAACAGATTCCCCGCAGCCCGCAGGATCTGCTAGTCTCTGACTGTTATCTCTTACAGTCCCTGACTATTATCTCATTGGTAATAGTCAACATTGAGGGAGGTACAGAATGGACCCTTGCTCAAAACTACAGCTAAGAGAATAAAAGGGGAAATTTCTGGGAATATGATGTAAAAAACAGACCCAACCAGTGATATGAACTGGTAAACAAACTTTCTGTTCATCTGGCCAATCCCCCCGAAAATCATCCAAACAGAAAACACTCCAGAAGAGCCTGGAATATTCTTTCATTGTCCTCAGCTATTTAGTCCTGTCCATCTTGGGTCTTGTGTCATACCCTTCCAGGGAATGACTTTCAAATGCTAGACTCTCAAAGTATGATATACCCTCCCTTGCTCATTAAAGACTCGCAGCCCAGCTGCCGTGTTGGGTTGGCAGTTCTCCTTAACTATAAGCTCATGTGGGCAGGACCGAAGCACATCAGGTCTCCACTGCACTCCACTGTGCGTGGTGAATGTCATACAACAGATGCTGAATCAAGACTCATCAATAAATGAACAGGGCAATAAATGAAAGATGGATGCATGCATGCATTGGTAGATACATGAATTCAATCTTAGCATCTTGTGGAGAGGTCTGCCATTTCCGCAGCCCCATAATCTGGCTACCCTCTCTTCTACCTGGACACTGGATGGAGGGAGGGTGGGTCTTCCAGTCCTTATAGGAGCTCTTGCTAGTGGCATGGAAAGGAAGCCAATTCACTGTCTGGCTGTTTGGCTCAGTCTCAAGTTCAACCAAAACCACTATGGTTGCCCTCTCAGCAGTTCCCACCCTCTGTCCCACTGAGTGTCTAACTGGCCTAACTGCTTTCTGTGGAGCCCTTACTTCTGCCAGGGCCTCAGCCTCCAGGGACTTGTGGTCCCCTAGGCTGCTGTGCCGGGTAGAGCCGCAAGTTGACCTCATGGAGAGCCCTTCTGCCAGTGCCTTCTTGTCAGGGTAGTTGATGCTGCCGGCGCTCCCGAATGTCGCCATCCTCCTCTTCTCAGGGCTCTCAATCCGCCCACGGCTGAGGGGGATTTTGTGGGGGCTGCTGGGGCAGGCAGCAGCTCGGGGTGGCGTGTCTATGCTGGGACCCAAGCCCCGGGGTGGGCTGTGTGTGTCGCCCCCGCTTCGGCGCCTGGGGATGGCCGCTCCGTCAGACCGTAGCCGCACTCTGCAAAGGAGCCAGGGGCAGGGAGCATGGGGCAGAAGTCAACCCTAGCCAGTCTCAGAATGGGCCAGCCAACCCCCAAGCCATAGCTACAAGCTAATCTAGAGCAGCTCGCACAGTGAAGCCTCATTCAGCCCGACCACACAATTTGGCGATAAAAGGGCCAGCTCAGACCTGTGACACATGCCCTAAAGGGGAAGAGTAACTTGGCCCAGGGAGGAGAGCCGAGAGTGGGAGCCAGGCTAGCTGCACTGCAAACCAAATTTTAAGTCAGGTCCAAAACAGAAATGCTGTGGCTAGCTGTGGTCATGTGTGTGTGTGTATATATATATATATATATATATATATATATATATATATATATATATATATATATAGTCTGAAGCCTTTCAGACTCTAGCTGGTTTGAAACAATGAGGCTTGACTGTACCCAAAGGCCACACTAAGCACAGGAGGGGAGCCCTGGGAATGAAACACCTGCTCACCACTGTCACCCACCAAACTCCCAAGAGCAAGGCTACCTATACAGCTTTCCCAGATCTTGGGAAGTAAGTCACTGAAGAGTGAACACACCTCCACCTGTGCCTATGGGTACTTTATCCACCTCCAGGGTTCTACTGGTATAAAAGGGTACGAGTGACAATCAGTAGGACAAGTCTTTGACCCATGTCTGCCACGAGCTTTCCTGTATTCTCTCCATTTCCCTTCTGTGAATACATTGACGGACTATCCCTCATCTGCCCAAATTGGGGTGGGGTTGAAAATAACTCAGACTGTGTGTCCTACGGAGGTCACCCAAGGTAAAGAGACCTTCGTGAGGGGAGGGAAGGCTGGATGTGGATGAGGGTAGGGAGGGACAGAGGCTGGATATGGGCCAAGTTCCACTGGATTAGTGACAATTCAAACCCTCTGCCCCAGCAAAGCTAAGCAAGCCTGCAGGTGCCCCAATAGGACCAAAGCATAGGTGTTGGGGAGGAAAAGATTTTGAGAAAGAAAAGAGAAAGGCTGATAGAGGGAAGAAGGTGAGGAGGAGAGAGGCAGGAGATGGTATGTTCCTCTTAGGAACTGGGACCATACCATCCTCATCTATGGACCCAGCCTTCGGCTTCTTCACCCATGGTTCCTATCATCTTGCAGTGCTCGAAGCTGAATTGAGCAAACATCACTAAAAAGAGGCCTCAGGACCTCAACTAAAATAAATTCTTAATGGCCCCATTTATGCTGCCACAGGACTCTCTTGCTCTCTCTGCAAAGACTGAGTTGATCACATGACCCTCCTGCTGCAGCAGGTAGATGGGGCACAGACTTTGATGTTCTAAGAGGACAAGGGGTGTGGGGTGAAGCAGAGAGAGGCTGTCAGCCTTTTCTCTCTTCCTGTTCCCCGGGTGACTTGCACAGCTCCTTGTTGGCATATCGGTCACGTGACACAGCCAGGCTCAGTGGAGAAACTGGCATATCTCCTCCCACCAAACAGGTAGGTGGAGTCGGGTATCAACTTTCACAGATGAAGGTGTGAACTCTCTGTTTAAGTGGTGTGTTTCGGGGATGGGGGGACTGTGGGAGCTTTACATTTTCAAAATATTGTATAACAACAGACAGCTAGGAGGAGGTGCAGGAGCTGGAGAGAGAAGGAAAAGCACACGCCAGTTTTTCCCTCATGTCTCCCTCTCTCTCATTATTATATTAAAATTTTAAGACAGGCTGGGCTATGATTATTATTTAAAATAAGAAGCTCTGCAGTGCCAGCATAGGTCTTCCTCTTCCTTCACACCCCCTACACACCAAAGCTGGGTCAGTTCACACCTGGAATCCTTGGGCCATCCCAGCCAGCCCACCCAGCTGTACTCAGGGTCATGGTTTGCAGAATCAAGGAGCTGTAGGAGTCTCCTCCTCCCCTTCCTACCCTCTTGCTTCCCCCAATTCACAAACACGCAGACAAATGGGGCGCTAGTGGGACAAAAATGAACCCGCATTTCCTACCGGCCCATCACCCCCCCAAAGCCATAATCAGAGATGTGCTCTGTGGGGGACTGGAGGTCATTCTTGGAGGAGGCCTTGTCATCCAGCAGTGGTCCACTGCTGGCCTCGCTGTCAGCCTTTTGACTCAGGCTGTCGGAGAAGGCATCGTCCCTGTGGAGAAGAGAAGAGTGAATTGGAGGTGGTCCCCGTCCTCTGCAGGAAGGCCCAGGATGCCCAGAGCTCCTCCAAAGCTGTCTGCACACACCTATGGTTGCCTGTACCAGCAGCCCAGACTGAGCACCTTCCGTCCACGCATGCCTACCACATGCTCCCATAGCCAGGCTCTTTCATGGGTGGCTCCTTTGGATTCCACCCCCATTCCACTGTTTCTTTCCCCTTCTCTACTTTGTCCTCTCTCCGAGACCCTCTCAATGATGGAGACAAGGTGGAGAAATGGGTGTTGGAGTCTACAAGCTGAGCACAGGGTGCTGAGTGCTGAGTCTCCTAGCACAGAGTGCTGTATGCTGAGTTTCCTATGGCTTCATGCAAAGTGGTTCAGAGTCAAGCAAGGCGGGGGGGGGGAGCTACCTCCCTATCTGGGGTCCAGGATACTTGCGAGGTGGCCCTCTATTACAGCATCCCCTTTCTCATTTGCTTGGCCTTGGCCTTTGTTCACACTCAGAACCCTGCATCACAACATAGGCTTGGGGTTCCCCTCCTGTGCGGTTTAGCTCCATGGCTGCTTCCAGGATAGGTCAGCTCCACTGAGCCAATCCAAGCTAGAAGGGAATGAGAGCCTAGGAAGGACCTTACACAAAGTCCCAACTTCTTTAACTTTCTGACAGTGCCAGATATTTGGGATGTATGGTGTTTTTAACTCCTTAAATCATTAAAAATGACACCTGGTTAAAGTAAAACGGGATGCTTGCGTTTCTCCACTCCCTGAGAAGGTCACATCTGGAATGGAGGGCTGTGAGCATTAAGGGGTGGTGAGCTGATCTCTGGCTACAGGGACAGCTCAGGATAGTAGAGGGATATGAAAAGACTATGGGATGCTAGTGACCGTGGTGGATGGTGAGAGCCCTGGTTATGGCATATGGGTCTGGATGGCAGTCTAAAGGATGAACAAGGTGCATATTTCTTTTGTGGATTTGCACTCAGAGGGACTTAGATAAAAAAAAAACATTCTTAGAGATCATCAAGATTTGATATTGATCCTGGGAGAACAAATTGCCAGCATATAACCCAGTATTCCCCTTCTACTGCCCATTCCAGACATCATTAATCTATTACCTCACTCTTCACAGAAGGCCCCAGTTCTCACTCACATGTCCTGTACAACTATGTACTGATGAGGGATGAGTCCATCCACGCCATTGTGACGGCCCTCCCACCAGTCCTCTGAGGCACGGTGGTACAGGAGCAATGAGGCCCCTTTTTTGAAGGACAGCTCACGAGGGGACCGCCCCACATAATCAAACTTGGCGATGGCCTCGATCTGCTCCACTTCTGAAAGAAAGTCAAGAGACAGAACATCTGTGAGGTGGGAGGGAAGGCCCAAGACTCAGACAGCCTGGGCTTCCGTGAGGAAGATGGGCAGCAGGCTTGATAAGCACAGGTGGTCTGGGGCTTGGGACCAGCCCTCTAGGTTTAGACTCCTCCCCACTGTCAATCTTAGGCAATCCATGCGACTTCTCAGAATGTCCAATGGGTACCAGGCTCAGTGGTGCAGACCTGGAATCTCAGGGTTCTAGAAGGACTAAGAGTTTGTAACCAACCTGGGTTATACAGCAATAACCTATCTCATAAAAAAAAATCAAATAAATGAACAAATATAAAACGTCCGCAGGGAGCTGGCATGCCAGGTCCATGTTTTCCATTGCATGATTATGGAAACCAGTTTGGCTAAGCGTGATAATGCAGACCTGTAATCTAAGCACTTGGGACGTGGATGCAGGATAACAGGAGAGGGAGGCTAGCCTGAGCTACGTGTGTGTTTGAGGAAATTCCTTTTCCTTCTACACCTCAGCATACATCCTACCCCCACCCATGAGCCCCTTTCTCTCTTGTCCACTTACACAGAAGTATCACGTACTGCCTGTAGGACTAGCTTTTCATTTCTATCCACTCACGATGCTTTCAAGGGGCTCTTCAACTTCCGAATGGTGAATGGAAATAAGGACACAGCACAACCAAAACTCATGGGTACAGCTACGGCTCGGGTGGAAATTTAGAGATGTAGATGACAGTGCTAAGAAAAATTCTAAATCAGTAACCTCTGTCTTCACCTTTAAAAAAAACAGGAAGTACAGGGGCTAAAGAGAAGGCTCAGTGGTTAAGAGCAGGCTGCTCTTCCAGAGGACCTGGGTTCAATTCCCAGCACCTACAACTCAGCTCAGACTCCAAACGATCTATCACACTCTTCTGACCTCCAAGGGCACTGCATGCACATGGCACACAAGCATACATGCAGGCAAAACCTCATACACATAAACTAAAAAAATTAAAATATAAAAATTAAAGACAGTAGAAGTGTAAACTAAGCGGGATGGTGGTGGAGCATGTCTTTAATCCCAGCTTGGGAGGGCAGAAGCAGATAGATCTCAGTGAGTTCGAGGCCAGCCTGGCCTACAAAACAAGTTCCAGGACAACAATTACACAAAGAAACCCTGTCTTGAAAAAAAAAAGTGCAAACTAAAGATAAGGCAAGAAGAGGCGGGGTGGGGGGAGCAATACAGATTAGAGTAGAACTAAATGAGACAGAGACTAGGAAAAGGTCCAAGCTGCTTCTTTGAAAAAGATCAATCCAATTAACCAACGTTTGGCTAAATAAACTAAGAAAACAAGAGAGAAAAATCACATTAATAAAATTCAAAATCAGGAATGAAAGAGAAACATTAATGTCATTACTTGGGAGGAAAAAGGGTATCATAAAGAAATGTTACCAACGATTATATGTCAGCAAATTAGATTAAGTAGAATGAAATGGCACATTACTAAAAAAAAAAATGTAGACTCCTGAAACTGACTTGAGAAACTGAATATCTGGGGCCAGCAAGAGGACTCAACAGGAAAGAATGCTTGTCACCAAGCCTGACAACGTGTTTGATCCCTGAGTCCTATATGAAAGAAGGAGAGAACCAACTCCTGCATGCTGTTCTTCAACCTCACAGACATAAGTCTCAACAAACAAATGGAAAAAACAAAAAACCCAACACCTGGGGTCAGGAAGATGGCTCATGGGTAAAAGTGCTTGCTATACAAGTTTAATGATTTTATTAAACAATGTAGGGGGGGGGGGAAAGCTGGATCCAGTAGTCCACATCTGTAATCCAGCACTCTTGTGGTAAGATGGAAAGGGCAGACATAGGAATCACCCAGAAGTTCACAGGCCTGATAGCCTGTAGCATGCAGTGGCAGAAACAAGAGAAACCATGAGGTCTCAACAAGATGAAGGAGAAGGTTGTCCTCTGACTTCTAGGTGCATGCCACACCATGCATGTGTCTGCCCAGCATGCATGCACATGCACACGTGCTAATAATACATTTTATAAAAAGAAATAGAAAACCTGAATGAGTCTCTGAGAACACGAACTAACTACCAAAGCACCTACTCAGAAAGAAATGCCCAGTCCCATGAGGCTTCACTGCTGAATTCCACCAAACATTTAAACAACAATAATTAATCACCACATCTTCCAAAAACCACAAGACAGGGAAACAGTTGGCGACCCATTTCATGAGGCAAGTATTATCTAACACAAAACCTGGAATATATTACCAGAAAACCGCAGGCTGACATCTCTTATGAATATGGATGAAATTCTTCTCTACAAAATATTAGCAAACTGTATGCAGAAATATGTAAAAGGAATTGTTCTCCATACCTGAGAAGAGTTTATCCCAGGAATGTAAAATTGGTTTAATATCTAAAATTTAACAATTCTTGTCAATAAAATAAAAAGAAAAATTGACATGATCATCTCAAAAGATGAAGAAAAGCATTTGGCAAACATTAACAAGTTTTCCTAGCAAAACACTTCAGAAAAACAGGAACAGAAGGGTGCATCCTTGACTTGATTGAAAACCTCACTGCTGGGTGGGAGAGATGGCTCAGCCATAAAGAGCGCTTGCTGTATGATCATGAGGACTGGGGTTCAGATCCCAGCATCCATGAGACAAGTCAGGCACCTGGCAACACACCTGAGATCTCAACTCTGAGACAAATGAAGAAGGAATGATCACTGAGGCTTACTAGCTTCTGGTCCAGCAGAAAATGTGTGAACCTGGGTTTGGGGATCCTGCCTCAAAGAAACAGTGATCATGGAGGATGCTCAACAGCCCTTTCCTAGTCTGCATATGTGTGCCAGGCATGAGTACACATGCACACATATGCATGAAAATACAGTCACACACAGACACTTATTTAAAAAAAAAAAGAAAAACCCTGACAGGTAATAATGCATCTGGTAGGAAACCACTGGCTGCTTTCTCTGTGTGGTGGTTTGAAATGAGAACGGCCTCCATGGGTTTGTTATGTTTGAATAGTTGGTGCCCAGTTAGTGGAACTGTTTGGGAAGGAATACGAGGTGTAGCCTAATTGGAGAAGGTGTATCACTTGTGTGTGTGTGGGGGGGGGGGGATGGTTAGACTCTAGACCTCTGATGCTGTAAGCCCCAAATAAACTCTTTCTTCTATAAGTTGCCTTGGCCATGGTATCTTATCACAGTAATTTTTAATTATTTTTATTTTATATGTTTTAAAAAAGAAAAATATCTTTTTAAAATTTTATACAGCGAGGCCTGATCTCTCGGCGCCAGGAGAGACAGCATTGGGGTGAGTTTCTGGCCCCGCGGCGCCAGCCTCCGAAGGGGAGCTCAGAGGTTACTTGGCCCCCTATCCTTCTTGGGCTCTCTGCAGGGCCTCCACTCCCTGCATACTGCCTCTTTCTTCCTAGGCCACCCAGCTCCCATCAGAACCCTCCCCACTTCGGCCCCACTGCCCTCTTTCTGCACATAACATCACCCAGCCCAGCCTGTCTGGGCACTGGGTCCGAATCCTCGGGGCACTCAAGCGGGCAGGACTCCCTTTGTTTCTATCGCCTGCCTGCACCAAGCAGGGTAGGCGCTTTGTTTGCGACCTGCCCACCAGCACGGATGCCTGATCTCTCGGCGCCAGGAGAGACAGTGTTGGGGGTAGGCACTTTGTTTGTAAGCTGCCCAAACAGCACGGAGACCTGATCTCTTGGTGCCAGGAGAGCCAACGTTGGGGAGATTCAGCGTTGGGTAGACAAGGAGACCTGATCCGGTAAAAGAAGATTCATAAGGGAGCATTTGGAAGAAGAGATGGGCAGACGCCAAGGCAAGAATTCGCCCAACAAGCTGAAAAGCAACATGAAGCCACCAGAAACCAGCAACCTCACAACGGGAGGACATGAACACCTTAATCAAGAAGAAGTAGAAAAGATTGACTTCATGAAAGTGATTGACGCCCTTAAACAGCATGTAAAAAACGCCCTTATAGAAATGGATGAGAAATATAACAGAAAGTTTGAAGAATTGAATAAATCAGTGAATGATACCCTAGAAAACCAAGGAAAAACAATCAAACAAATAATGGAAACAGTTCAAGACTTGAAAACTGAACTGGAGGCAAAGAAGAAAACACAAACAGAGGGCCGGCTGGACATGGAAAATTTAAGTAAACAAACAGAGTCTACAGAAACAAGCATAACCAACAGAATACAAGAGTTAGAAGAAAGAATCTCAGATTCTGAAGATGCCATAGAGAAAATAAACACACTGATCAAAGAAAACAGCAAGTTCAACAAACTCTCATCACAAAATATTCAGGAAATATGGGACACAATAAAAAGACCAAACCTAAGAATAATAGGAGTAGAAGAAGGAGAAGAAGGGCAGCTCAATGGTCCAGAAAATATATTTAATAAAATTATAGAAGAAAACTTTCCCAACTTAAAGAAAGATATACCTATGAAGGTGCAAGAAGCATACAGAACACCGAATAGGCTGGATCAAAAAAAAAAAATCCCCTCGCCATATAATTATCAAAACACAAAGCATACAGTATAAGGAAAGAATATTAAGAGCTGCAAAGGAAAAAGGCCAAATTACTTATAAAGGTAAACCTATCAGACTTACACCTGACTTCTCCATGGAAACCATGAAAGCCAGAAGGTCCTGGATAGATGTACTACAGAAACTAAGAGACCATGGATGCAAGCCCAGATTACTATACCCAGCCAAGCTTTCGTTCACTATAAATGGAGAAAATAAAATTTTCCAGGATAAAAACAAATTTAAACAATACGCAGCCACAAATCCAGCCTTACAGAAAGTAACAGAAGGAAAATCACTAACCAAGGAGTCCAACAATGACCACAATAACTCAGACATCTAGAGACCCTTCACCAACACAAATCAAAGAAGGGAAACACACAAACTCTACGACTAAAAAAATGACTGGAGTTAACAACCACTGGTCATTAA